AGTAGGATAGTAGGAATAGTAGCAACAATATGATGGTAATAATCTGTTTCCAAAGGAGGCCTCAAGCATGAGCTTGGGTGACTTCCTTGCCTCTGAGTCAATGGGCAGAGGAAAGGTGCCAAAGCTCACGTTCAATGAGGTTACAATGTGAGCCTTCCCTTCTGCTGCTGCATATCTTTGCATTCAGTAAATAGCTACCGATAGGAGCAAGGACACCGGAGGATATCTTAATGCCCTTCGAATCCCAGAAAAAGTAATGATTTCTAACTCAGGGGAATGTTTCCCGTTGTTGACTCAGCCTGTGACTCTTGAGACTGTGGTTTCCCTGAACGAAAAGTAAAAGCTGGTCTATTTCTTGGTGTTGTGTTCATTCGTTCAGTCGTCTCCGACTCTTCGTGACCTCATGGACCAGCCCACGCCAGAGCTCCCTGTCGGCCGTCACCACCCCCAGCTCCTTCAAGGTCAGTCCAGTCACTTCAAGGATGCCATCCATCCATCTTGCCCTTGGTCGGCCCCTCTTCCTTTTCCTTCCACTTTCCCCAGCATAATTGTCTTCTCTAGGCTTTGCTGTCTTCTCATGATGTGGCCAAAGGACTTCAACTTTGTCTCTAGTCTCCTTCCCTCCAATGAGCAGTCGGGCTTTCTTTCCTGGAGGATGGACTGGTTGGATCTTCTCGCAGTCCAAGGCACTCTCAGGACTTTCCTCCAACACCACAGCTCAAAAGCATCGATCTTCCTTGGCTCAGCCTTCCCGAAGGTCCAGCTCTCACATCCGTAGGTGACTACAGGGAAGACCATGGCTTGGACTAGGCAATGGATCTTTGTTGCCAGTCTGATGTCTCTACTCTTTACTATTTTATCGAGACTGGACATTGCTCTCCTCCCAAGAAGGAAGCGTCTCCTGATTTCCTGGCCACAGTCTGCATCTGCAGTAATCTTTGCACCTAGAAATACAAAGTCTGTCACGGCCTCCACATTTTCTCCCTCTATTTTCCAGTTGTCAATCATTCTTGTTGCCATAATCTTGGTTTTTTTGACGTTTAGCTGCAACCCGGCTTTTGCGCTTTCTTCTTTCACCTTGATTAGAAGGCTCCTCAGCTCCTCCTCGCTTTCGGCCATCAGAGTGGTGTCATCTGCATATCGGAGGTTGTTAATGTTTCTTCCAGCAATTTTCACCCCAGCTTTGCATTCATCCAGCCCCGCACATCGCATGATGTGTTCTGCATACAAGTTAAAAAGGTTGGGTGAGAGGATGCAGCCTTGCCGTACGCCTTTCCCAATCTTGAACCAGTCTCCTGTTCCGTGGTCAGTTCTGACTGTTGCTCCTTGGTCCTTGGTCAGATTCCTCAGGAGAGAGGGAAGGGGGCTTGGGATGCCCATCCCACCCAGAACTTCCCACCATTTATGATGATCCACACAGTCAAAGGCTTTAGAATAGTCAATGAAGCAGAAGTAGATGTTTTTCTGAAACTCCCTGCCTTTCTCCATGATCCAGCATCCGGATATTGGCAATCTGGTCTCTGGTTCCTCTGCCTTTTCTAAACCCAGCTTGAACATCTGGCCACTCTCGCTCCATGTCTTGCTGGAGTCTTCCTTGGTAGGTAGGTGGTTTGAAATAGATGACATGCTGCCTTGTAGGATCTTCCTTTCTTGCAAGGCTCTTGCAAGGCTGTACATCTCCAGTCTGTCCATTTCCAGTCCTAAAGCAAAAAGATCTAACCACGATTGAGATATCTTTCCAAAGAAGGCTTTACTAGAGATAATACTAAAAGGAACGTGGTGACTTTGCAGGGAAAATAAGTCAGTATTTGGCAGCCAAAATATACTTTCTCTGGAATGCATTGTTGGTTAGAGGAGGCAAAGCTTGCAACTCAAGTGGCATTCAGCAAAACTTTTGAATGCAATAGTTATTGGGTTTTTATAAGTTTTTCGGGCTGCATGGCCCTGTTCCAGAAGCATTCTCTCCTGACATTTCGCCTGCACCTATGGCAGGCATCCTCAGAGGTTGAGAGGTCTGTTGGAAACTAGGAAAATGGGGTTTATATATCTGCAAAATAATGTCCAGGGCAGGAGAAAGATCTCTTGTCTACTGGAGGCAAGCGTGAATGTTCCCATTGGCCACCTTGATTAGCCCTGAATAGCTTTGCAGCTGCAAAGTCAATCAGTGAGGGTATCTGCATAGAGTTCTGTTGGAGATGAGGCAAGTGGGGTGTATATATATCTCTGGAGTTATGTCTACAATGGGAGAAAGAACTCTTGTCCATTGGATGCCACTGTGAATGTTGCCATTGGCCAGCTTGATTAGCCCTCAATAGCCTTGCAGCTGCAAAGTCAATCAGTGAGGGTATCTGCATAGAGTTATTTTGGACTTGAGGCAAGTGGGGTGTATATATGTTACGTCCACAATGGGAGAAAGAACTCTTGTCTGTTGGAGGCTAGTGTGAATGTTGCAATTGGCTAGCTTGATTAGCGCTGAATAGCCGTGCAGCTTCAAAGCCTGTCTGGTTGCTGCCTGGAGGAATCCTTTGTGGGGAAGTGATTAGCAGCCCCTGATTGTTTCCTGTCTGGGTGTTTCTCTTGTCTGTTGGAGCTAAGTGTGAATGTCTCAGTTGGCCACCTTGATTAGCATTAAATGGCATTGCAGTTCCAAAGCCTATCTGGTTGCTGCCTGAGGGAATCCTTTGTTGGGAGGGGTTAGTTGGCCTTGATTGATTCTTGTCTGGAATCCTCCTGCTTTTGGGGTGTTGTTCTTTATTTACTATCCTAATTTTAGAGTTTTTTAAAAAAACAAGGGAATTCCAGACATGAAACTATCAAGGCTAGCTAACACCTCCCAACAAAAGATTCCCCCAGGCAGCAACCAGCCAATCTTTGAAGCTGCAATGCAATTGAATGTAGCCCGTTGCAACATTCACACTTGTTTCAAGCAAACAAGAGTTCTTTCACCCACCCTGAGCATTCCAGATACATAAACCTCACTTGCCCAGTTTCCAAAAGACCTCACAACCTCTGAGGATGCCTGCCATAGATGCAGGCAAAACGTCAGGAGAGAATGCTGCTGGAACATGGCCAGACAGCCTGGAAAATACACAGCAACCCAATGATTCTAGTCATGAAAGCCTTTGTCAACATACTATGATTATTATTATTATCATTATTATGACAATGGTGATAATATAATCTTGATCCAGCCATGTTGTGATGGTCTAACCTATTGTAACCTGGGTGGTTCCTGCCTGGGGGAGTCCTTTGTTGGAAGGTGTTAGCTGGCTGCCATGTTTTGAACTAATTGGAATTTCCAAACTTGGTATAGAGGTAGCCCAATGCATTGCAGAAGACACTACCTTGGGGTTACCAGCGCATTCACTACCATTTTTAGGTCCCCTGATTCTAGGAAGGGGTGCAGCTGACATGGGCCGGAGGTTTAGCATAGCTGGTAAATCATCAGCAACTATAGATCTATCAACCAAAAGGTTGCAAGTTCGAAGCCCCGGTTGACGTGAGCTTCCAACTGTCAGCCTAGCTCATTGTTTACCTAAGCTTAAACTGTGATTAGAGAAATTAGGTACTGCTAAAAAGCGGGGGAGGTTTTTTTACGACGCCATAAAGAAAGATGATCAGAAAATACTGGGTGGCCGAAAGGAAGGAGAAAGTTCTGATGTCTCTTCGTCAATCAGGATAAAGCAACACTCGAGCCCAACCTTCCATGGCACCTCCTGTTCTGTCTGTGTATTGTCTGTGATCCGCCCTGAGTCCCCTTTGGGGTGAGAAGGGCAGAATATAAATAAAGTATTATTATTATTATTATTATTATTATTATTATTATTATTATTATTATGGTAGCCAAAGGGTAAGCACTTCTGACACATCTATCTGGGCTCTGAGGATGCTTGCCACAGATGCAGACAAAACATCAGGAGAGAATGCTTCTGGAACATGGCCAGACAACCCGAAAAACTTACAACAACCCAGTGATTCCAGACATTAAAGCCTTTGACAATGCAATAATTATTATTTGCTTTTCTTTTTAACTCTTGTTCCAAGGTCAGCTTGGCCTGCAAACAATAACACTAGGAAAGATTGGCTCTCAACCGTGCAGCCGAGAGCGGTTTGCAATGATCTGCTGAATCCTAAACAAACACAACAAGGCATTTAAGAAGTACTAAGCTAACTAAGTAACAATAACATTGGGTTGTTGTAGGTTTTTTCGGGCTATATGACCATGGTCTAGAGGCATTTTCTCCTGACGTTTCACCTGCATCTATGGCAAGCATCCTCAGAGGTAGTGAGGTCTGTTGGAACTAGGAATAACATTGTTTAACAAACTTTGAAAAGAAATCTGTTCCTGGTTTGAAAGTGTTATTTCCTGTTTAATTGTGCAGTCCTCACTTTGAAAGTAGTTGTTCTACCTCAAAAATGTGGTCATTTTTGTGTCCACAAACTTGCGTTAAATTGGTTGAGACTATATCAGATATTCCCCCGGTGGCGCATTGGCTTAAAACACTGAGCTACTAAACTTGTTGACTGAAAGGTTGCAGGTTCAAATCCAGGGAGCGGCGTGAGCGTCCACTGTCAGCCCCAGCTTCTGCCAACCTAGTAGTTCGAAAATATGAAAATCTGAGTACGTCAATAGGTACTGCTCCAGGGGGAAGGTAACGGTGCTCCATACAGTCACGCCTACCACATGAACTTGGAGGTGTCTGTGGACACCGCCGGCTCTTCGGCTTAGAAATGGAGATGAGCACCAACCCTCAGAGTCAGACACGACTGGACTTCATGTCAGGGGAAAACCTTTACCTATAACAGATATTTATTGGAAAACTAGAGCAAAAGGTGCTGCAGGATTTCCCTCTCAACAAAACAAAGTTTTTTTGCAATTTAACAAACTTTCCCCATGTTTTTATGATGGAACCAATTACAAAATGACATTTATAACCCAGGAACAAACATCGTGTAATGAGACTGGTTGGTTTCCACGTCGTCTTACCATCAAACCCTATTCCAGTTCTTTTTCAGGTCCGTGCTTTGGACGTCGAGGTGAGAGACGAGGATAACAAGACGTGTCTCTATGCAAAGATGATGGTGAACATCTCCATAAAATATGAAACTGAAGTGAATACATACGTGAGTCTTGGCATTCCCTCCGACACTTTCAGACTGAAAAATATGTGTTTATAACGTGTCTTCTAGAACATTTATTTATTTAGGTTCTTGTAGGTTTTTTCGGGCTATAGGGCCATGTTCTAGAGGCATTTCTCCTGATGTTTCGCCTGCATCTATGGCAAGCATCCTCAGAGGTAGTGAGGTCTGTTGGAAGTAGGAAAATGGGTTTATATATCTGTGGAATGGCTGGGGTGGGGCAAAGAGCTCTCTGCTGAAGCTAGGTGTGAATGTTTCAGCTGACCACCTTCATTAGCATTTGAAGGCTTGGCTGAGCCTGGGAAAATGTTCTGTTGAGAGGTGTTAAGATATGCCTGGTTGTTTCCTCTCTGCTGTTTTGCTGTAGTAATTTTAGAACCTTTTTTTTTAAACAAACGGGAATTCCAGACATGAAACAATCAAGTCCAGCTAACACCTCCACATGCGTCTTGTGGATTTCAATGGCTCCTCTGTGTAGTCTGACGTGGGGGTTGTTGGAGTGGTCCAGCATTTCTGTGTTCTCAAATAATATGCTGTGTCCAGGCTGGTTCATCAGGTGAACACAGAAATGCTGGACCACTCCAACAACCACCAAGTCAGACTACACAGAGAAGCCATTGAAATCCACAAGCATGTGGACAATTTCAACAGAAAGGAGGAGACCATGAAAATGAACAAAATCTGGCTACCAGTATTAAAAAAACTCTAAAATTACAACAGCAAAACAGCAGAGAGGAAACAACCAGGCACATCTTAACCCCTCTCAACAGAACATTTTGCCAGGCTCAGCCAAGCCTTCAAATGCTAATGAAGGTGGTCAGCTGAAACATTCACACCTAGCTCCAGCAGGGAAGAGCTCCTTGCCCCACCCCAGCCGTTCCACAGATATATAAACCCATTTTCCTATTTCCAACAGACCTCACTACCTCTGAGGATGCTTGCCATAGATGCAGGCGAAACGTCAGGAGAAATGCCTCTAGAACATGGCCATATAGCCCGAAAAAACCCACAAGAACCTAGTGATTCCAGCCATGAAAGCCTTCGACAATACATTTAGTTATTTATTTATTTCCAGCTTTTCTATTCCGCCCTTCTCCTCACCCCGCAGGGGACTCAGGGCGGATTACAGTGTACACATATATGGCAAACATTCAATGCCAATTTTTGACATACAACACATACAGACATACACAGAGGCTATTTAACTTTTTCTGGCCGCCAGGGGAGCTGTCGCTTTCATCGTCCATCTGCGATGCTGATGAAGTACTTCCGCACTCCCCGCATGCTTCCCCGCTGGAATGCTTTTATGGAGTCTTCTTTATGGCCTCATAAATTAGTTAATTTAGCCTCCTCACACTTTAATGTGGTACCTAATTTTCCTACTGTCTTTCGGGTTGCAAAGGTCGACAACAGGCTACACACAATTGGTTGGAAACCCACTCCAACCTGGGCTGGCTTCGAACTCATGAGCTTTTGGTCAGAGTGATCTTAATGCAGCTGACACTCAGCCAGCTGTGCCACAATCCCAGTGCCATATAGCCCGAAAAACCTACAACAACCTGAAGTAAAATATCTGTGTTCAGATGTGCTTCTAGAACAGAAGTCTAGCACTTTCATGGCTCAGATATGCATCTTAATGAAGCCTTCCCATTTCGTCTTTCAGAAAACTGTGGCCTTCATGCTCCCCACGGCGTTGCGGTACGACGGAAGCACTTGCGGCAACGAGTCGTCGGGCCCGATCTTGGCCGTGGAGTTTGGGGAAGAGCACTCGTGGGTCATCAGCTTCGCCGAGAAGGCCGACGCCTACCAAGGGATGATTTACTTTACCTACAACACCAACGACACGGAGTTGTTTCCGGACGCGAAACGAATAGGTGAGCAGCGGGTTCCAGATCCTTTTTGGCATCGCTGTTTGGTGGGATTTGCTGTCCTCTTTCTTCTAGCCACTCTTCATACTCTTAATTAATTTTGCATTGCCTCAATAAGTCATTGTGTTTTCTGATTTTCAATACTGAAAACTAATTCAGAGTCCTACAATTCTGAATCTACAGATTTTGCACCAAACTAATTTGCACTGGGCTGTTGTGCATTTTCTAGCCTGTCTGGCCATGTTCAAGAAGCATTCTCTCCTGACGTTTCGCCCACATCCTTAGAGGTTGTGAGGTCTGTTGGAAATTAGAAAAATTGGGTTTATTTATCTCTGGAATAATGTCCAGGGTGGGAGAAAGAACTCTTGTCTGCTTGAGGCAAGTGTGAATATTACAGTTGACCACCTTGATTAGCATTGAATGGCATTGCAGCTTCAAAGCCTGGCTAGTTGCTGCCTGGTTGGAATCCTTTATTTATTTATTTATTTACTGCATTTTTATACCGCTCTTCTCAGCCCTCAGGGTGACTCAGAGCGGTTCACAACAACAATACAATACATAAAACATGATAAAAACAGTGAAAACGGTTTAAGAATAACAATTATAACAAGGTGGCCTTGCAGCTTCAAAGCCTCCCAACAAAGGATTTCCCCCAGGCAGGAAGCAGCCAGGCTTTGAAGCTCCAAGGCCATTCAGTGCTAATCAAGCTGGGCAATGGCAACATTCACACTTGCCTCCAACAGACAAGGGTTCTTTACTGGGAGGTGTTAGCTGGACTTGATTGTTTCATGTCTGGAATTCCCGTTTGTTTAAAAAAAAACTCTAAAATTTGGACAGTAAATAAAGAACAACACTCAAAAAGCAGTGAAATTCCAGACAAGAATCAATCAGGGCCAACTAACACCTCCCAACAAAGGAGTCCCCCAGGCAGCAACCACACAGGCTTTGATGCTGCAGTGCCATTCAATGCTAATCAAGGTGGTCAACTCTAATATTCACACTTGCGTCAAGCAGACAAGAGTTCTTTTGCCCACCTTGAACATTCAAGGTATATACACCCAACTGGCTTAGTTTCCAACAGATTTCACAACCTCTGAGGATGCCTGCCACAGATGTGGGTGAAACATCAGGAGAGAATGCTTCTGGAACATGGCCAGACAGGCTGGAAAATGCACAACAACCCAGTGCAAATTAGTTTGGTGCAAAATCTGGATTGTGTAGATTCAGAATTGTAGGACTCTGAATTAGTTTTCACAGATGTGGGTGAAACGTCAGGAGAGAATGCTTCTGGAACACATCCTCAGAAGTTGTGAGGTCTGTTGGAAACTAGGAAAATGGGGTTTGTATGTCTGTGCAATAATGTCCAGGGTGGGAGAAAGAACCCTTGTCTGCTTGAGGCAAGTGTGAATGTTGCCATTGCCCAGCTTGATTAGCATTGAATAGCCTTGCAGCTTCAAAGCCTGGCTGCTTCCTGCCTGGGGGAAATCCTTTGTTGGGAGGCTTTGAAGCTGCAAGGCCACCTTGATTAACATTTAATGGCCTTGCATTTTCAAGGTGTTGCTTCTTACTGCCTGGGGCAATCCTTTGTTGAGTAGTGATTAGCTGTCCCTGATTGTTTCTTGTCTGGAGTTCCCCTGTTTTTGAATGTTGTTTTATAATTTACTGTTATGATTTTAGAGGGTTTTTTTAAAATACTGGTAACCAGGATTTGTTCATTTTCATAATTTGAACTGTTTGCATAACTCCAATCGGGAACGAATGTCGACGCCAAGGCTTTTTCTCTGAAGCTTCTGGTTTGTAGAATCCTAGAGTTGGAAGAGACCTCCTGGGCCATCCAGTCCAACCCTATTCTGACAGGAAGCAGGAAAATTGCATTCAAAGCACCCCCAACAGATGGCCATCCAGCCTCTGTTTAAAAGCCTCCAAAGAAGGAGCCACCACCACACTCCGGGGCAGAGAGTTCCACTGCTGAACGGCTCTCACAGTCAGGAAGTTCTTCCTCATGTTCAGATGGAATCTCCTCTCTTGTAGTTGGAAGCCATTGTTCCATTGCGTCCTAGTCTCCAGGGAAGCAGAAAACAAGCTTGCTCCCTCCTCCTCCCTGTGGCTTCCTCTCACATATTATACATGGCTTTCATCATATCTCCTCTCAGCCTTCTCTTCTTCAGGCTAAACATGCCCAGCTCTTTAAGCCGCTCCTCATAGGGCTTGTTCTCTAGACCCTTGATCATTTTAGTCACTCTCCTCTGGACACATTCCAGCTTGTCAACATCTCCCTTCAATTGTGGTGCCCAGAATTGGACACAATATTCCAGGTTGCTTTCATTCTTCCTTTCCCTGTTACCTGGGGCACCTGTGTATTGTTTTCCTCTTGATTCTTGTGCTTTGTGTGTCTGAATACTTGAGGTCTAGCTACGACGGTCCCGTTGCCTTGATCCCCCAAGAGAAGAGGTTGCGCTCTTGGATTCGCTCTGTCCATGCTTCAGAGAGGAGTGTTGACTCTCTTAAAGGCATTCGGTGATTAGCCTTATAATCCCATTTTATGTAAATGTTGTTCTTGGCACTCTTAATTGCTCTGTTCCTGAAGTGGGTGAGATATAATTAGACTGACCTCGAGAAAGAGAGCCTGAGTTTCCAACCTTCGACAAACACCTTTGTTCGCACTTAAAAGATCCAAGTAAGGCTGAAAATGCAGAATATATACTGTATATACTCGAATATAAGCCTAGTTTTTCAGCCCCTTTTTTAGGCTGAAAAAGCTGCCCTTGGCTTATACTCGAGTCAAAGTTATTTATTATTTTTACTCTGTTATTACTATTATTTTTATTACATCTATTATTTTCCTCTATTATTAGTATTATTACCAATATTGCATTATTTTGCTCTATTATTATTATTATTATTATTATTATTATTATTATTTTTATTATTTTACTTTGGTATCATTGTTACTACATTTATTATTTTACTCTATTATTGGCATTATTACATTTGCATTATTTTACTCTATTATTATTTTATTACATTTATTTTACTCTATTATTATTACTTTTATTATTTTACTTTAGTATCATTGTTATTACATTTATTATTATTATTATTATTTGGCATTATTAGGGGAATTCCAGACATGAAGCAATCAAGTCCAGCTAATACCTCCCAACAAAGGACTCCCTCAGGCAGCAACCAGCCAGACTTTGCAGCTGCAAGGCTACTCAATGCTAATCAAGCATTGTATAACTAATCAAGTTCTTTCTCCCACCCTAGACATTCCACAGATATATAAGCCCCATTTTCCTAGTTTCTAACAGACCTCACAACCTCCTGCCATAGATGCAGGCAAAACGTCAGGAGAGAATGACCATAGAACATGGCCATATCCCCCAGGCAGCAACCAGCCAGGCTTTGAAGCTGCAAGGCTACTCAATGGTAATCAAGCCGGCCAATGGCAACATTCACACTTGCCTCAAGCAGACAAGGGTTCTTTCTCCCACCTTAGACATTTCACAGATAAATAAACCCCATTTTCCTAGTTTCCATCAGACCTCACAACCTCTGGGGATGCCTGGCATAGATGCAGGTGAAACGTCAGGAGAGAATGCTATTGGAACATGGCTAGGCAGCCTGGAAAATTCACAGCAACCCAATGATTCTAGCCATGAAAGCCTTTGACAACATATTATGGTTATTTATTATTATTATTATTATTATTATTATTATTACAATGGTGATAATATCATCTTGATCCAGCATGAAGGGCTAGAAGGCATGATCATCAAGTTTGCAGGCGACACCAAATTGGGAAGGATAGCCAATACTCCAGAGGACAGGAGCAGGATTCAAAATGATCTTGACAGATGAGATGATGGGCCAAAACTAACACAATGAAGTTCAACAGGGACAAATGCAAGATACTCAACTTTGGCAGGAAAAACGAAATGCAAAGATACAGAATGGGAGACGCCTGGCTCAAGAGCAGTACGTGTGAAAAAGATCTTGGAGTCCTCGTGGACACCACACTCTGCCCCGGAGTGTGGTGGAGGCTCCTTCTTTGGAAGCTTTGAAACAGAGGCTGGATGGCCATCTGTCAGGGGTGATTTGAATGCAATATTCCTGCTTCTTGGCAGAATGGGGTTGGACTGGATGGCCCAGGAGGTCTCTTCCAACTCTTTGATTCTATAAGTTAAACATGAGCCAACAATGTGATGTGGCGGCAAAAATAGCCAATGGGATGTTGGCCTGCATCAGGAGGAGCATAGTGTCTAGATCTAGGGAAGTCATGCTCTCCATGCTCCATTCCGCTTTGGTTAGACCACACTTGGAATATTGTGTCCAATTCTGGGAACCACAATTCAAGAGAGATATTGACAAGCTGGAATATGTCCAGAGGAGGATGACTAAAATGATCAAGGGTCTGGAGAACAAGCCCTATGAGGAGCGGCTTAAGGAGCTGGGCATGTTTAGCCTGAAGAAGAGAAGGCTGAGAGGAGATATGATAGCCATGTATAAATATGTGAGAGGAAGCCACAGGGGGGAGGAGGGAGCAAGCTTCCTTTCTGCTTCCCTGGAGACTAGGACGCAATGGAACAATGGCTTCAAACTACAAGAGAGGAGATTCCATCTGAACACGAGGAAGAACTTCCTGACTGTGAGAGCCGTTCAGCAGTGGAACTCACTGCCCCGGAGTGTGGTGGAGGCTCCTTCTTTGGAAGCTTTGAAACAGAGGCTGGATGGCCATCTGTGAGGGGTGCTTTGAATGCAATATTTCTGCTTCTTGGCAGAATGGGGTTGGATTGGATGATGGCCCATGAGGTCTTTTCCAACTCTAGGATTCTATGATTCTATGTCGTGATGGTCTAACCTATTGTAAGATACCTATCGATGTTTTCTTAGAGACACGGTTTGTAGCATTCTGTAAAATGGCTCTCTGCAAGGATTTGAGAGTGGGCACTTACTACTTCAAAGGATTGTTTCAATAGACAATCTTGCAAATAAAGCAAGAGAGGCGTTTTCCTTGCCCGGCGTTCCTGAGCTTGATGTGATGCATTTAAAAATACTCTCAACAGAAAGCCATCCCAGGCTCGTCTGTATTTCCAACCGCACGCCAAAGAATTCTACGAAAGAGGATGTAGGTATTGCTGCATTGTATGTGCAACACGACAAAGCAAGTTTTGCTTGGCTGAAACGTTCCTCAGCCTGGCTTTGCTCTTTTGAAATGTCTCTTCTCTTGTTTGCAGGGCTTATTACCGTCTCCGCAAACTACCCCCAGCAGCCTATTAAGCTGAACACAGTCTACAGCTGTCGTAGCATGGAGGCCATTCAATCTGACAACGTTGTGCAAGAGATCTGGGATGTCACTCTGCAGGCGTTCCTTGACGAAGGCTCTCAAAGTAACATCGGTGAGTCGTTGGTGCAAGAAAACGTTAGAGAGTTTTCAGAACTGCTTATGATCCATGTGGTTAGGATACACGTTTTGATAACTTGAAGTAGGAATCCTACCTAGTCATAGATAATCAACAATAACACTATGCAACACAATTTTTGTTCCTGGGATATAAATGTCATTTCTTAATTGGTTGGAACATAAAAGCGTAGGAAAAAATTATTAAACTGTAAAAACTCTGTTTCTTTGGGAAGGACATCATGCAGTGCATTTTGCCATAGTTTTTGCAGTGGTGCAATGGGTTAAATCCTTGTGGTGCTGAACAGCTGATGCGAAGGTTGGCAGTTCGAATCCGCGAGACGGGACGAGCACCCGCTGTCAGCCCTAGCTCCTGCCAACCAAGCATTTAAAAAACATGCAAATGTGAGTAGGTCAATAGGTACCGCCTTGGCAAGAAGGCAAAACGACACTCCATGAAGTCATGTCGGCCACACAACCAGGAGGTGTCTTTGAGTTAGATCGTGTTGAGGTACATCGTGTTGAGGTACATCGTGTTGAGGTACATCGTGTTGAGGTACATCGTGTTGAGGTACATCGTGTTGAGGTACATCGTGTTGAGGTACATCGTGTTGAGATACATCGTGTTGAGATACATCGTGTTGCGTTACATTGTGTTGCGTTACATCGTGTTGTTGGTGCCCCCAGTGGCGCAGTAGGGCTGAATTGAAATGTCATCAGTTCAAATCCGGGGAGTGGGGTGAGCTACCGCTTTTGCCAACCTAGCAGTTTGAAAACATGAAAATGTGAGTAGGTCAATAGGTACCGCCTTGGCAGGAAGGCAAAACGACACTCCATGAAGTCATGTCGGCCACATAACCAGGAGGTGTCTTTGAGTTAGATCGTGTTGAGATAGATCATGTTGAGGTACATCGTGTTGAGGTACATCGTGTTGAGGTACATCGTGTTGAGATACATCGTGTTGAGATACTTCGTGTTGCGTTACATCGTGTTGCGTTACATCGTGTTGCGTTACATTGTGTTGTTGGTGCCCCCAGTGGCGCAGTAGGGCTGAATTGAAATGTCATCAGTTCAAATCCGGGGAGTGGGGTGAGCTACCGCTTTTGCCAACCTAGCAGTTTGAAAACATGAAAATGTGAGTAGGTCAATAGGTACCTACCTATTTTGCCTTGGCGGGAAGGCAAAAAGACATTCCATGCAGTCATGACGGCCACACGACCAGGACGTGTCGTTGAGTGGCATCGTGTCGAGATACATCGTGTCGAGTTACATCGTATTGTTGGTGCCCTCAGTGGCGCAGTAGGGTTGAATTGAAAGGTCACCAGTTCAAATCCGGGGAGTGGGGTGAGCTCCCGCTTTTGCCAACCTAGCAGTTTGAAAACATGCAAATGGGAGTAGGCCAATAGGTACCGGCTTGGCGGGAAGGCAAAAAGACACTCCATGCAGTCATGATGGCCACACGACCAGGAGGTGTCAACGAGCAACGCAGGTTCCTCGGCCTCGTCAGTGACTAAATATCGGAGATTATTTGGAATTCCCTGCTCCCAAAGACTATGTCCCTGTGAAGGAAATGAAACGGAAACAATAGAACACATTTTATTGCAGTGGCACTACTACACAGTGCAATGTAGACAACTCTTATATCTCTTATAGCGGGACCAGCCATCCCCATATGCAGGGGATTGTTAGATATCTTTGAGAGGACAAGTGCCACAGTGGGACTCTCATAGTGGCAAAATTCCTCGCACTAGCAACAAGGCTGAGGAAGCAACTAATCTCCAATAGTTGTACAATGGACAATGAACTTCTCCTGAGATGGGAGAATTTATACTGGCTGTTGGTTTTACTGATGGGTCTATGGACCGTAATAAATATTGTTGTTTGTGCTACGTAGCGTGGCGTTACGTAGCGTGGCGTTACGTAGCGTGGCGTTACGTAGCGTGGCGTTACGTAGCGTGGCGTTACGTAGCGTGGCGTTACGTAGCGTGGCGTTACGTAGCGTGGCGTTACGTAGCGTGGCGTTACGTAGCGTTACATTGTGCTATAGTGTTCGGTTACGTTGTGCTATAGTGTTGGGTTACGTAGTGTTGGGTTACATAGTGTTGGGTTACGTAGTGTTGAGTTACGTAGTGTTGAGTTACATAGTGCTGTCGCTTCCCCCAGTGGCGCAGTAGGGCTGAACTTGAAAGGTCACTGGTTCAAATCTGGGGAGCGGGGTGAGCTCCCACTTCTGGCAACCTAGCAGTTCGAAAACATGCAAATGTGAGTAGATCAATAGATACTGCTCCAGCGGGAAGGTAACAGCGCTCCTTGCAGTCATGCTGGATACATGACCTTGGAGGTGTCTACGGACAACGCCGGCTCTTCGGCTTCGAAATGGAGATGAGCGCCAACCCCCAGAGTCGGACACAACTGGACTTAATATGTCAGGGGAAAACCTTTACCTTTACTACCTAGTGTTGTCAATTCTGGACTTCTGCCACAGTGTTGTTTTGTGTTCTTTGTGAATCTTTATATACAAAGATATATTGACAAGTAAATGCTCCGTAGTGGAATGGTAGTATTTGGCAAAACTACCACAAACCATTGCATGTATGTTTCTCTTTTTCCAGAGACTGTGTGTGACCAAGATATCGTGGTCACCACCGCATCATCGGTGGCCATGAGCCCCCGAGTGTACGCAGCCACAAATACCACCAAAGAGACTCCCACCACTCCGGAGCCTCCCTTGCCTCCTTTGCCCACTTTGGTGCCGGTGGAACAACCAGCCACAGGGAGCTACTCTCTCCACAACAACAGCGGTGCCTGCCTTTTGGCCACCATGGGCCTGCAGCTGAACATCTCACAAAAGGTTTACATATATCTATATACTCTAACTTGTGTACCCGGCGTTGCCCGGGTTGTTTGAAGAACTCCCAAATATCAAGGTCAATCTCTCCCAAACCCCTCCAGTAATCAAATGTGAGCACATCAGGTATACATGCCAAGCTTGATCCAGATCCATCATTGTTTGGGGTCATAGTGCGCTCTGGATGTATTTATTTGTTTATTTGCGACATTTATATGCCGCCTTTCTCTCCCCGAAGGGGACTCAGAGCGGCTTACAAGATATTATGTTATTAGCATAGCACAATATCAGTATTATTTATTACTATATTGTATTATACCATTATATTGTAGTATTACTAGTAATATTGCATGTAATATAAATATTTGTTTGTTTGTTTGTTTACGACATTTATATTTATTTATTTGGGGTTCTTTTACCCCGCCCTTCTCACCCCGAAGGGGACTCAGGGCGGCTTACAAAGGCAAAGGCACAATTCGATGCCTGCATCATAAAACAATCATACACAAAATTACATCAATTCACAGTTAACAACAATTCATGCATTATAACCATAAAATCAATAAAAACCAATACAAACCCAATTTCTCCTCTTACATGGTCAGCGTTCGCTAACTCATAGATCTAGTTTTACGTTCCACTTCATCAATCCTGGTCTTACTCGCCTGGTTGTCTGATTTAATTGCCGGAGTGCCCAAAGGCCTGGTCCCATAACCAAGTCTTCACCCTCCTCCTAAAGGCGAGGAGGGATGATGATGCCCTGATTTCCCCCGGGAATGAGTTCCACAGGTGAGGGGCCACCACTGAGAAAGGCCCTGCTCCTCGTCCCCACCAGCCTCACTTGTGATAGCGGTGGGGTCGAGAGCAGGGCCTCCCCAGATGATCTCAGATTCTGGGGTGGGACGTAGAGGGAAATACGTTCGGACAGATACACTGGACCGGAACCGTACAGGGTTTTATAGGTCAAAACCAGCACCTTGAATTATATATATGCAGCCCTTCTCACCCAGAAGGGGACTCAGAGCGGCTTACAAGATATATATATACATACAATATATTATATTACTAGCATAGTTACAATATCAGTATTATATATTACTATATTGTACTATACCATTATATTGTAATATTATTAGTAATATAAAATCAAGGCGCATTGGGTTAAAGCGCTGAGCTGCTCAGCTTGCTGATTGAAAGGTCGCAGGTTCAAATCCGGGGAGCGGCGTGAGCTTCCGCTGTCAGCCCCAGCTTCTGCCAACCTAGCAGATCGAAAACATGCAAATGTGAGTAGATCAATAGGTACCACTCCGTGGGGAAGGTAATGGTGCTCTATGCAGTCATGCTGGCCACATAACCTTGGAGGTGTCTATGGACAGCGCCGGCTCTTTGGCTTAGAAATGGAGATGAGCACCAGAGTCCTAGAGTCGGGCACGACTGGACTTCATGTCAGGGGAAAACCTTTACCTACCTTTACTAAACATTGAATTTTACCCTGTTAACCCTGTTAATCACCTACGGCAGTGTTTCTCAACCTTCCTAATGCCGTGACCCCTTAATACACTTCCTCATGTTGTGGTGACCCCCAAACATAGAATTATTTTTGTTGCTCCTTCACAACAGTAATTTTGCTACTGTTATGAATTGTAATGTAAATATCTGATCTGCAGGATGTATTTTCATTCACTGGACCAAATTTGGTACAAATACCCAATACGCCCCAATTTAAATATTGTTGGGCTTGGGAGTTGTCATTTGGGAGTTGTAGTTGCTGGGAATCATAGTTCACCTACAATCCAAGAGCATTCTGAACTCCACCAACAATGGAACTGAACCAAACTTGGCACACAGAACTCCCATGACCAACAGAAAATACTGGAAGGGTTTGGTGGGCCTTGACCTTGAGAGTTGTAGTTCACCTACATCCAGAGAGCATGGTGGACTCAAAGAATGATGGATCTTGACCAAACTTGGCATGAATACTCCATATGCCCAAATGTGAATGCTGGTGGAGTTTGGGGAAAATAGACCTTGACATTTGGGAGTTGTAGTAGCTGGGATTTATAGTTCACCTACAATCAAAGAGCCCCTTGAACCCCACCAACGATAGAATTGGGCCAAACTTCCCACACAGAACCCCCATGACCAGCAGAAAATATTGTGTTTTCAGATGGTCTTTGGTGACCCCTCTGACACCCCCTCGCGACCCCCCCAGGGGTCCCGACCACCAGGTTGAGAAACACTGGCCTACGGGCTGAGGAAGGTGGTATACAAATACAGTAAATAAAGAAATAAATAAACAATATCTATCTTGGTTGGAGTTACACTTAGGAAATGTACCGGTTCCAACTTACATACAGATTCAACTTAAGAACTAACCTACAGAACCCATCCTGTTTGTCAGTTGGGGCTGGCCTGAATAGTTTTGTCTCATCTGCATATGTTTAGTTCACAAAAGTAAATTGGTAAGAAATTACACCCAAGCTATAAGCAGAAATAAAGGCAGAAAACCAGGCTAATATCAAGGTTAATATTTTATAAATGTGAAATGCTTCTGAATAATACCTTGTTGTGCCCTGCAAGCAGAGGGGGTCATAAATATTGATTAGAGATAAAAATAATAATAGAGCATACTAATTTTGATTTTAAGAAACCTCGGTGGCGCAGCGGATTAAACTGCTGAGAAGTCACAAAGAAAAGGAAACAAACGTTCTGATTGATTGATTGAATGGTGTCATCTTGACGCGGCCAGACTGTTTGACCCTCTCTTTCCAAAACAATAACTTCCAGGTTCCTCTGATCATTAACTTCAACCCGAACACCACCGTCGCTAGCGGTAGCTGCGGTGACCAAATGTCCGTACTCACGCTGACTGACGGCAGAAGCAGAGTTGATTTCGTCTTTACCGTGGTGAGTATTTCCCCTTTTTAGGAAATGGCATTCATCACCTTTTGGTGTCACGGAATTGGCTGTTGCGAGTTGAAGTGGCCATTGGGAAAGAAAGATGATGGAGAAGGGAGAAAGGGGAAGGAAGGAAGGAAGGAAAGAAAGAAAAAGAAGGGAGGGAGGAGAAAGAAAGAAAGTGGAGGGAAGGAAGGAGTAAGGAAGGAGGAAAAAAGGAGGGAGGGGAAAGAAAGAAAATGGAGAGAAGGAAGAGAAACGGAGAAAGGGAAGGAGGAGGAAGGAAAAGGCTCAAAAGAATGGAAAGAAGGGAAAGGGGAAAGAGAGAATGGAGGGAAGGAAAAGAATGAAAACAGAGAAAGGGAAGGAAAGAGAAGGAAGCAAAGAAAGAAAAAGAAGGGAGGAGGAGGAAGGAAGAATGAAAAAGGAGAGAGGGAAGAGAAAGAAAACAGAGAAGGGAAGAGAAGGAAGCAAAGAAAGAAAAAGAAGGGAGGAAGGGGAAGAAAGAATGAAAAAGGAAAGAAGGAAAACAGAGGGAAGAAGGAAGGAAAGAGAAGGACAGAAGGGAAGAAAGGGAAAAAGAAGGAAGGGGAAAGAAAGAAAGAAAGAAAGGAGAGAAGGAAGAGAAATGGAGAAAGGGAAGGAGAAGGAAGGACAGCTCAAAAGAATGGAAAGAAGGGAGAGAGGGGAAAGAGAATGGAGAGGAGGAAAAGAATGAAAGCAGAGAAAGGGAAAGAAAGAAGAAGGAAGCAAAGAAAGAAAAAGAAGGGAGGAGGAGGAAGAAAGAATGAAAAAGGAGAGAGGGAAGAGAAAGAAAACAGAGAAGGGAAGGGAAGAGAAGGAAGCAAAGAAAGAAAAAGAAGGGAGGAAGGGGAAGAAAGAATGAAAAAGGAGAGAAGGAAAACAGAGGGAAGAAGGAATGAAAGAGAAGGACAGAAGGAAAGAAAGGGYAAAAGAAGGAAGGGGAAAGAAAGAATGGAGAGAAGGAAGAGAAATGGAGAAAGGGTAGGAGAAGGAAGGACAGCTCAAAAGAATGGAAAGAAGGGAGAGAGGGGAAAGAGAATGGAGAGGAGGAAAAGAATGAAAGCAGAGAAAGGGAAAGAAAGAAGAAGGAAGCAAAGAAAGAAAAAGAAGGGAGGAGGAGGAAGAAAGAATGAAAAAGGAGAGAGGGAAGAGAAAGAAAACAGAGAAGGGAAGGGAAGAGAAGGAAGGAAAGAGAAGGACAGAAGGAAAGAAAGAAAAAGAAGTGAGGAAAAAGAAAGAAAAAGGTAAGGAAGAGAAAGAAAACAGAGAAAGGGAAAGAAGGAAGGGAGAAGAAACAGAAAAAGGAGGGAAAGAAGGAAAGGAAGAAAGGGAAGGAGAAAGAAAGTAAAAGAAAAGGGAGGAGAGGGAAAAAAGGAAAAGGAGGGAAGGGTGAGAGAAAACAAAGGGAAGAGGAAGGAAGGAAAAAAAGAAAAAGGGAAGGAAGAGAAAGAAAACAAAGGGAAGGAAAAGAGCAGGAGGGAAAGAAGGAAGGAAAGTAGGGAGGGAGAGGAAACATTGAAAAAGGAGGGGGAAAAGGAAAGAAAGAAAGGAAGGGAAGGAGAAAGAAAGTAAAAGAAAAAAGAAAAAGAAGGGAGGAGAGGGGAAAAAAGAAAAAGGAGGGAACAATGGGAAGGATGGGAAAGAAAAAAAGGGAAGAGGAGGGAAGGAAAAAAAGAAAGAAAAAGAAGGGAAAGCAAGAAAAAGGGAAGGAAGAGAAGGAAAAGAAGAGAAGGAGGGAAAGAAGGAGGAAAAAATAAAAGGAGGGAAGGAAGAGAAAGAAAAGAGGGAGAGGGAAAAAGAAAATGGGATGAACGAAAGCATCATGGGGTAGGTGCACTAATTGGTGTATCTAACTTGACGAATTACTCTGTTATACAGAAAAACACAACCATAGAAAGATTTTACCTGACAGAAGTGAACATCACTGTGATCGAATCTAGGAATGGTAAGTGTTTTTTTTGTTGTTGTGCACCATCAATTCCCTCTTGTGACTTTTCTGTGCTTGTGTTTGCGAGCACCAAACTTGAATGCATAGTGCCTTTTGTGCCTGAGGGTAGGCAATGGGTGTGAGTGGCAAGGAAGAGAGTGATCCTTGTGTTACCAGAGTGAAGAGGTGGTTGCTATTTCTTCCTACGTGCCATTACTTGCGCTGGCGCATGATTTTTATTCTACTAACTGTAGGAATGATTTTATAAATAGAATCATAGAATCAAAGAGTTGGAAGAGACCTCATGGGCCATCCAGTCCAACCCCATTAACCATCACAATTTTCATAGAATCATAGAATCAAAGAGTTGGAAGAGACCTCCTGGGCCATCCAGTCCAACCCCATTCTGCCAAGAAGCAGGAATATTGCATTCAAATGACCCCTGACAGATGGCCATCCAGCCTCTGTTTAAAAGCTTCCAAAGAAGGAGCCTCCACCACACTCCGGGGCAGAGAGTTCCACTGCTGAACGGCTCTCACAGTCAGGCAGTTCTTCCTCATGTTCAGATGGAATCTCCTCTCTTGTAGTTTGAAGCCATTGTTCCGCGTCCTAGTCTCCAAGGAAGCAGAAAACAAGCTTGCTCCCTCCTCCCTGTGGCTTCCTCTCACATATTTATACATGGCTATCATGTCTCCTCTCAGCCTTCTCTTCTTCAGGCTTAAGCCGCTCCTCATAGGGCTTGTTCTCCAGACCCTTGATCATTTTAGTCGCCCTCCTCTGGACACATTCCAGCTTGTCAATATCTCTCTTGAATTGTGGTGCCCAGAATTGGACACAATATTCCAGGTGTGGTCTAACCAAAGCAGAATAGAGGGGTAGCATTGCTTCCTTAGATCTAGACACTATGCTCCTATTGATGCAGGCCAAAATCCCATTGGCTTTCTTTGCCGCCACATCACATTCCTGGCTCATGTTTAACTTGTTGTCCACAAGGACTCCAAGATCTTTTTCACACGTACTGCTCTCGAGCCAGGCCTCATCGTCCCCCATTCTGTCTCTTTGCATTTCTGTATCTTCAGCCTTTGCAAGCCAGCTTTGTGATAACGCTGCTTCGTTCCCTTTAGTGACGCTTAATGCCGCAAACCGAACTCTCGAGGCCTGGGACGCGTCTGTCGGCCGCTCCTACATGTGCCGGAAGGAGGAAACGCTCACCGTGACGCCCGGGTATAAAATGAACATCTTTGACTTGAAGGTTCAGCCGTTCGATGTCAAAGACAGCCAGTATGCCACAGGTAAGGACCAAGCCATCCGGGAGCATTTGCATTTAGAGATTCAGTCGCAATGGGACTTTTTGGACAACTTTAGTTGGGTTGAAAGCTATTTTCTAACTTGTTACACTGTTAGCGCAAGTCTTTTATTTTCCCCTTATTTTTTTTTTATTAATCATTTCCAAAGAGGAAACTGGGAAAGGTAGACGTGTTGGTATGAGTGTTAATAAGTTAGTAAATCGTAACCAATGTGTAATGAATCAGAGGGAGGAAAGTGGTATAGGAAGCAAGGGGAAACTATTTTGCAATATTTTATTGTATTACATCTAGTTCTTGGTCTCTATTATCCAAACACTCATTACTTAAACTACTAAAGTTTTGAAAAGTCAGAATATTATATAAGGATACAATAATAGAATATAGTAATGTAAGGATAACAGAATATAATAGTGTAAAGATATAATAATACACAGGTAATGTAATACAATATAATACAATATATGGATAATATAATATATACAATAGAATATAATATGATGTATATATATATATATAAAGATAATACAATAATAAGGATAGAATAATACATTTAATAATACAAGGATAATAGAATATAATAGTATAAAGATATTATAATAATATATGGGAAATATAATATAAATATACAATAATATAATATAAAAATATGTAACAATATACAAATAGAATAGAATATAACAATACAAGTATAATAGAATAGAATATAAAGATATAATATAATAATATGGAAACATAATATACAATAATATTATCGTATATATATATAAAGGTATATAATATAAACATAGGATAGAATATAATAATCTAAGAATAATAGAATATACTAGTATAAAGATATAATATAATTATATGTGGGAAATAATATAAATATACAATAATATATTGTCATATATATAAAGATATATAATAATATAAACATAGGATAGAATATAACACTACAAGGATAATAGAATATACTAGTATAAAGATATTATAATAATATATGGGAAATATAATATAAATATACAATAATATAATATAAAATATGTAACAATATACAAATAGAATAGAATATAAGAATACAAGTATAATAGAATAGAATATAAAGATATAATATAATAATATGGAAACATAATATAAAATAATATTGTATATAATATAAACATAGGATAGAATATAATAATCTAAGAATAATAGAATATGCTAGTATAAAGATATAATAATATGTGGAAAATAATAATATAAATATACAATAATATATTGTCATATATATATAAAGATATATAATAATATAAGGATAGACTAGAAAGATAACTATAAGGATAATAAAATATAATAGTATAAAGATATTATAATATATGGGTTGTTGTAGGTTTTTCCGGGCTATATGGCCATGTTCTGGAGGCAATTTTTCTCCTGACGTTTCGCCTGCATCTATGGCAAGCATCCTCAGAGGTAGTGAGGTCTGTTTGGTAACTGGGAAAAGGGTTTATATAACTGTGGAATGACCAGGGTGAGACAAAGGACTTTTGTTTGCTGGGGCTAGCTGTGAATGTTTCAGCTGATCACCTTGATTTGCATTCAATGGCTTGGAAGCGCCTGGGGGGAATCTTTTGTTGAGGGTGATTTCATGTGCCTGTTTGTTTCCCCTCTGTTGTTTTTCTGCTGTAATTTTAGAGTTTTTTAATACTGGTAGCCAGATTTTGTTCATTTTCATGGTTTCCAAGAAAGGAAGAAAACATGAAAATGAACAAAATCTGGCTACCAGTATTAAAAAACTCAAAAATTACAGCAGAAAAACAACAGAGGGGAAACAAACAGGCACATGAAATCACTCTCAACAAAAGATTCCCCCCAGGCGCTTCCAAGCCATTGAATGCTAATCAAGGTGATCAGCTGAAACATTCACACCTAGCCCCAGCAGACAAAAGTCCTGGTCATTCCACAGATATATAAACCCATTTTTCCTACTTCCAACAGACCTCACTACCTCTGAGGATGCTTGCCATAGATGCAGGCGGAACGTCAGGAGAAAAATTGCCTCCAGAACATGGCCATATAGCCCGGAAAAACCTACAACAACCCGTGGATTCTGGCCATGAAAGCCTTCGACAATATTATAATATAATTATATGTGGGAAATATAATATAAATATACAATAGTATATTATCGTATATATAAAAATATATAATAATATAAGCATGGGAGAAAATATAACAATATAAGGATAGTAGAATATACTAGTATAAAGATATTATAATATAACAATAAGTGGGAAATAGTTCTGCAGACTCAAACTGCTGACCTTCCAGCCAGCAAGTTCAGCAGCTCAGCTGTTTAACCCGCTGCGCCTTTAGAGGCCATAATAATAATAATAATAATAATAATAATAATAATAATAATAATACAGGGTCCAATCATTAAAATATTAATAATAATAATAATAATAATAATAATAATAATAATAGAAATGCGACATGCAAGTAGCCCCACATTCCTGAATGTTTTTCCCCTCTCTGGTGCCAAACTTTCAGTATGATTTATTGTTCATGACCTGTGCTTCAATTGATAACGAATCGTAATCACCGAGTCCCTCAAAAGATGCTCTTTCTTGCCATGTTGTGACCACTCTGCCCTTTCGAACCAGCCTTGAATCTTTGTGCCTGCCGTTCTCTTCCGTTCCGTAGCCTCGCTCTCCGCCAACGCCTGTCTCTTCCTCCCCTTTGTCGCTCCCTTTCTCTCCTACAGCGCAAGAGTGTTTGCTGGACGACGACACCATTCTAATCCCCATTGTAGTTGGCGCCGCTCTGGCGGGCTTGATTGTCATGATAGTGATTGCTTACATAATTGGGCGAAGGAAAAGCTATTCCGGATATCAGACCTTGTAAGACCTAATGACTGTGGTTCGTCGGCCTCGGTTGGGATAACGCCGCGTCTTGAGACGGAAACGAGACACCTAACGTCCAACGCCCTCGCCTTAAAAAGGTGGAGGTGTGCCCCAGATTTGTTTAAAAAGCCATGACCGAGAACATACCTCTTCTGATCCAAATATGGACTGGTTAACATTCACTGGAACAGACTGGAGTGTGCGGCAAAACTAGCTTTAAGCATTTGTGTATGTAAAGTTAACCCGTATCTGTAAGTAGGCCACAGTCGGGAAAGGGAATTACTCTCTATTGGACTCACTTAGTATATTACAGAGGATCTGGTGGTTGCTCCTGTTACCTTGGTCATTTGGATGAGTGTAGCTTGGAATTAATAGTACATTTGCTAAGACTCGTCCGGCTCAGGGCACTGAACAATAATATCTCCACGTCACAATATCTTACCTGACTTATTCAGGGCAAGAAGGTGCAAGCACTTGTTTACTGTTTCCATTGCAATTGTAACTTGCTTGTCAACTTCAATGGCGCCCCGTTACGGGGCCGAGAAGGTTGGCCGCGGGCAACAGAAAGAGAAGAACTTCCAATTCGGTTTCCTTGCCCTTTTACCAAGGAAATAATAATAAGAGCTTACTACTTCTTTTAAGTGTCCTTAGTTTGTACAGTAAAGTCTGGATTTGTTATGAAAGGCTTTTTTAGGTGTAACTGCTCCCACTGATGCTCCCGTTTTTTGCTTCCTTGTGTGCTTAAGAATGTAGTCGAAAGAAGTTTACAGATCCTTGGAAATACAGCCATGCGTATTGTTGGTTCATTAATGCCACTTCTTGAATGGTACAGAACAATAGAAAGGAACAAAGAGAGTGTCTAAAGCAGGCATGTGCCATCTTGGGCCCTCTGGGTGTTTTGGGTTTCATCTGCCACAATTCCTAACGGCCTCAGTCTCTTTCCTTTCCCTCCTCAGTAGCCTCAGTCCTTTTTCTTTTCCGCCTCAGTCCTTTACCTTTCCTCCCTCAGCAGCCTCAGTCCTTTTCCTTTTTCCCCCTCAGCAGCTGCAGTCCTTTTCCTTTCGTCCCTCAGCAGCCTCAGTCCTTTTCTTTTCTCCCCTCAGCAGCCTCAGTCCTTTTCCTTTCCTCCCTCAGCAACCTCAGTCCTTTTCCTTTCCTCCCTCAGCAGCCTCAGTCCTTTTCCTTTCACCCTTCAGCAACCTCAGTTCTTTTCCTTTCGTCCCACAGCAGCCTCAGTCCTTTTCCTTTCCTCCCTCAGCAGCCTCAGTCCTTTTCCTTTCCCCCTTCAGCAACGTCAGTCCTTTTCCTTTCGTCCCACAGCAGCCTCAGTTCTTTTCCTTTCCTCCCTCAGCAGCCTCAGTCCTTTTCTTTTCTCCTCTCAGCAGCCTCAGTCCCTTTCTTTTTCCCCTTCTTCAGCCTCAGTCCTTTTCCTTTCCCCCCTCTTCAGCCTCAGTCCTTTTCTTTCCCCCCTCTTCAGCCTCAGTCCTTTTCCTTTCCCCCCTCTTCAGCCTCAGTCCTTTTCCTTTCCCCCCTCTTCAGCCTCAGTCCTTTTCTCCCCCCCCCATCAGCCTCAGTCCCTTTCCTTTTCCCCTCAGCAACCTCAGTCCCTTTCCTTTTCCCCTTTAGCAGCCTCAGTCCTTTCCCTTTCACCCTTCAGCAGCCTCAGTCCTTTCCCTTTCACCCTTCAGCAGCCTCAGTCCTTTTCCTTTTACCCTTCAGCAGCCTCAGTTCTTTTCCTTTTTTTCCCTCAGCAGCCTCAGTCCTTTTCCTTTCACCCTTCAGCAGCCTCAGTCCTTAAGCAGCTGAAGGGGGGAAAGGAAGGGGCCCGAGGCTGTTAGGAATTGTGGGAGTTGAAGCCCAAAACGCCGGGAGGGCTCAAGCTCACCCCTGCCTGGTCTAAGGACTAAATTCCCAGATTACAACGTGGCTGCATACGACAGCTGTCCGACTCCTCCATTCCCATTATTTATCAAAGAGCACTGAAGCCATACTTTTTGCAATAAGTTGTGCACTAAATGTGGAAAAAACTGCCTCCAAAGAGTGAGACCCAAAAATTGTCGTCACCATTTGAAATCACTATTATGACTTGTGCTCAGGAGAGAAAGAAGACGGTTGCTCTCACGCTGCATTTCCCTATTTGCTTTTTCTCAAAACACAATTGTCTTGTAGTTCCAAATCTTTGTGAAACAATCTGGTGATCTGGTGATGATTGTGCATGTTTGTTTCTGCATTTCACACGTGCCAGCTGAGTGTATTTGTTCATTGCTTCTGCACATAATGGATGTTTAGGACACCCAAAATGAGAAGACGTGTCTGTCTAAAGTTTTGGAGGCATAGAAACACTCCGACTTAAGCCCAGCTCAAAACCTATGTGACAACCTCAGAGTAACTGGCTTGTAAACACTTACGTCTGCTTTGACCCTGCTTCTCTTTCTCCTCTCATTGTATCTCTGCTTCGGCACTCGGTTGTTTTGTCTGTACCCAATGCCTGAATAAAGACACTTCTCTTCCTAAGGAAGCTTGGCCAGAACTGCTTCTTTGAGGGCTTCTCGAGGGCTACGGCCCCGTCTCAAAAAGGGTTGAGTTAGTTGGGAAGAAAGAAAAAGCAGTAAGTTGTAGGAAGAAGGTGGTGATCTTGTTCGCACACTGAATGAATAATTGGATTAGGAAATGGCTTGGAAAGCAGACTGCACCAATCTCAAGTCTTCAAAGTTGGGTGTCTGAATAATAGGTTGGGGATGGAGTGATGTCCTGTAGTCCTGAATCTGGACTTCATGGAAACATTGATTTATCACTGTTGGAAAGAGAATGTTTGACAAGAGGGTGGGATCTAATACAGATTATTATTATTATTATTATTATTATTACTGTATTGACAGAGCCCCCGGTGGCGCAGTGGGTTAAACCCCTGTGCCGGCAGGACTGAAGACCGACAGGTCGTAGGTTCGAATCCGGGGAGATGCGGATGAGCTCCCTCTATCAGCTCCAGCTCCTCATGCAGGGACATGAGAGAAGCCTCCAACAAGGATGATAAAACATCAAATCATCCGGGCGTCCCCTGGGCAACGTCCTTGCAGATGGCCAATTCTTTCACAACAGAAGTGACTTGCAGTTTCTCAGGTCGCTCCTGACACAACAAAAAAAAATTGACACAAAACCACAGTATATCACAGCAAATGAGATCTATATGCTGGATTTCATATCGCAAAATCACAAGTTGAACACTTCCCAAGAGTCTAGGACTGTGATGATGATGATGATGATGATGATGATGATGATGATGATGATGATGATGATTATTATTATTATCATTATTATTGGTAACACAACAAGATGAGTCCACAGAAAACAAGGTCACTCTGCTGGCTGTTGTATTAGATCACACATCGGATGCTTCCCAAGCGTCTAGGACTGTGTGATATTATTATTATTATTATTATTGACACAAAACCACAGTATGTCACAGCAAACGAGTTCTATATGCTGGATTTGATATCACAAAATCACAATTCAAACACTTCCCAAGCGTCTAGGACTGTGTTGTTGTTGTTGTTATTATTATTATTATTATTATTATTATTATTATTATTATTATTATTATTATTGGAAACAACAAGATGAGTCCACAGCAAACAAAGTCACTCTGCTGGCTGTTGTATTGGATCACATGCCGGACGCTTCCCAAGTGTCTAGGACTGTATGATTTATTATTATTATTATTATTATTATTATTATTATTTACACAAAAACACAGTATGTCACAGCAAATGAGATCTATATGCTGGGTTTCGTTTCACGAAATCACAAGTCAAACACTTCCCAAGCGTCTAGGACTGTGTGATATTATTATTATTATTATTATTATTATTATTATTATTATTATTATTGGAAACACAACAAGATGAGTCCACATCAGACAAGATCACTCTGCTGGTTGTTGTATTGGATCACACGTTGGACACTTCCCAAGTGTCTAGGACTATGTGATGTATCGGCAAATAATGCATGCAGATGCCAGTAGGGTGGCCTTTTGCAGCTGGCAGGTGGTAATTTTGTCAGTGCTGATTGTTTTTAAGTGCAGGCCAAGGTCTTTAGGCACTGCGCCCAGTGTGCCAATCCCCACTGGGACTCCCTTGACTGGCTTGTGCCAGAGTCTTTGCTTATTATTATTATTATTATTATTATTATTATTATTATTATTAGATACATAACAAGATCGGTCCACAGCAAACAAGGCCACTGTGCTGACTTTTCTATTGGATCACACATTGGACACTTCCCAAGTGTCTAGGACTGGGGAATAATGTGTACAGATCTGAGTAGGGTGACCTCTTCCACTTGACAGGTGGCAATTTTGTCAGTGCTGATTGTTTTTAAGTGCAAGCCGAGGTCTTTAGGCACTGCGCCCAGTGTGCCGATCCCCACTGGGACCCCCTTGACCGGCTTGCGCCAAAGTCTTTGTATAGTGTTATTATTATTATTTTATTTTGACCATATTCCAAGTCGGTTCAAACCAAGTAGGGTGGCCTTTTGCACCTGACAGGTGGCAATTTTGTCAGCGCTGATTGTTTTTAAGTGCATTATTATTATTATGACCATATTCTGTTCAAATCAAGTAGGGTGGCCTTTTGCACCTGACAGGTGGCAATTTTGTCAGTGCTGATTGTTTTTAAGTGCAAGCCGAGGTCTTTAGGCGCTGCGCCCAGTGTGCCGATCCGCACTGAGACCCCTTGATTGGCTTGTACCAGAGTCTTTGCATATTATTATTATTATTATTATTATTATTATTATTATTATTATTATTTTGACCATGTTCCAAGTCGGTTCAAGCTTGAAGGGAGTTGTGACGCAAAGCTTCTTGGAGGAATAGCCAAAGCAGGACCTCCCCATTGCTTTTAATGAAAGGAACGTTGCATTCTTTTTGTCACCAAGGTTGGAAATGGGTCCGAATGCTAAACTCTTTCCCGTTATGCCCTTTCTCCATCCAGCTGAAGACTGCCGTCTAGAGGTGGACAATTTCTTTGTGCCCATCATGGTGGGAGCAGCTCTGGCGGGATTGATTTTCCTGGTTCTCATGGCTTATGTGTTTGGCCGCCAAGCCCGCCAGGTTGGCTATGAGCATTTCTGAAAGAGGGGGTTTGGGCAGGACGCCCCCGCTCTCCGCCGCCGAGGAGGAGCCATGTGCCTCTGAAGAGTTGGCCGCTGCAACGCAGACCTTTTGAACGAGGCCGCTTTTTGTAAAAAGGGGTGGTTTTGTGTTGAGTCTGCTCTTCATCGCATAACCGGACTTGTTTCGAATTGTAATTTAAGCCAAAACACGTTTGTAAAATACGAGCATTTGCTGTGCCAAGACCCCAGGTCAAGCGTGACCAGCCTTGATACTTAAAGATGGCTTTCCAATGAACCATGGTGCCTAAACCGGTGTCACTTCCTCTCCTTTTCTGATGCACTCGGTTCCCTGAAAATACATCCTGTGAGTAGGAAGAACTATGGTATGTATTGTTGTAGGTTTTCATGGCCGTAGGTGTAGGTTTTTTGGGCTATATGGCCATGTTCTAGAAGCATTCTCTCCGGATGTTTCGCCTGCATCTGTGGCAAGCATCCTCAGAGGTTGTGAGGTCTTGCAACCTCTGAGGATGCCTGCCATAGATGCATGCGAAACGTCAGGAGAGAATGCTTCTAGAACATGGCCAGACAGCCCGAAAAACCTACAACCCAACTACAGTATGCCCTTCTAAAAGTTATATTTACACAGGGCTGTGTTTAACCACATCTGTGCCTATTGAATGTGAAACTACGAGAGCAAAACTGAGAATTCAATCAGGGCCAACGAACACCTCCCAACAAGGGATTCCCCCAGGCAGGAATCAGCCAGGCCTTGAAGCTGAAAGGCTATTTAATGTGAATGAAGGTGGCCAATTGCAACACTCACACTTGACTCAAGCAGACAAGACTTCTTTCTTCCACCCTGGACATTACTCCACAGACAGACAGACAGATACTCGCCTAGTTTCCAACAGACCTCTATGCAGATGCCCTCACTGGTTGACTTGAAGCTGCAAGGCCGTTCAGTGCTAATCAAGGTGGCCAATTGTAACATTCACCTTTGCCTCAAGTAGACAAGACTTCTTTCTCCCACCCTGGACATTATTCCACAGATAAGTAGGTAGCTAGATAGACAGACAGACACTCACCTTGTTTCTAACAGACCTCTATACAGATACCCTCACTGATTGACTTTGAAGCTGCAAGGCCATTTAATGCTAATTAAGGTGGTAAATAGCAACATTCACATTTATCTTAAGCAGACAAGAGTTCTTTCTCCTGCCCTGGTCATTGTTCCACAAATAGATAGATAGATAGATAGATAGATAGATAGATAGATAGATAGATAGATAGTCGACTTGCCTTCTTTCCAACACACCTCTATGCGGATATCATCACTGATTGACTTTGAAGCTGCAAGACTTTTCACTGCCAGCCAAGTTGGCCAGTTGCAACATTCACGCTTGCCTCAAGCAGACAAGAGTTCTCTCTCCCACCGTGGATATTATTCTACATAGATAAATGCTCCACTTGCCTTGTTTCCAACAGACCTCTATGCAG